TATTCATTGTAAGATGCTGTTTAATTACCACCACGAGGATGACTGGATTGCATGGGCTTGGCACATAACTAGTTCTCCCTGAGAACTGGTCTCTTAACATAGCTTTGGGATCTGTTTAACACTTGTGCAGCTACACTTCTGTGGAGGATTACTAGAACCACATAAATGGCATATGCTCGCACATCTTTGTGTAGCACTGACAACGCCCTGCCTGAGTGCGGGGCAGGTAATCTGTAGTGCACACTGTGTCAACAAGGCATTTATCATACACAGTTATCTACTTGGTGATATAACAAAGGGTCTTTGACGATGTCTCTGGAAACATTAGTGTCCATATTGCACTTCAAAGAATACAAAGACTATCCGGGAACGTTTCCCTGAATTGGGACCCATTTTTCTGGTTTTCTGGTTTCTGCCATCTTACATTTAAATATGGCATCTGGTTTTCTTCTTACTGAGAACCATATACCAAGCGTAGTAACCAGGAAAGGGTGGGGAGGTGTTTTCCTTTGGGTTAGTGAAAAATATTGCCTGAGGAATGGAAACACTGCTTTGATTGTCATACAGCCTCTATTTTTATTACTTTTCTCTGTAAAATACAATAAAAACATTGTGGGAAATACATAGTCAATTATCTGCAGTGGGAGGGAATACACCATCCATCGGCAAGGCTTCTGGGGGAGGCAGCACCGAGTTCCAGCCTTGTCTTATCTTTCAGTGTGAGACAGACTGTGGCTCAAAAACTGCAGAAGCAAAAATTTAAGAACAAAAATATGAGCATGTGAAATGCAAAAAGCCTGTTATCCCCCTGAAAAACACCACAAAGGGCTAGAAGAATGTCCCTGAAAACAGAGTAACTACAGCTGCTGCATGGGTAAAGCACTCAGCGACAGAAAGAGGGATGGCTTAGGGTCTGAAAATGTGGTATCCATAAAGCTCAAGTCAATGGCAACACTACCAATGGCCACAGAGGAGTCCAGCTTTCCTCCAATATACTCTAAATTTACTCTTGGCTCTATATTATAGCATCCAAATAAAACCCAGTGGTGTGCAAATGAACATAAGGGCACGGCATAGTCCAAGTGGCTGCAGTGCTGACATAGGCTAAGCCTGTGCTGGGGCTACACTTAACATTCAGTGCAATAGCCCAGCTTTCAGGTAGCACAAGTATTTTCACATCATGCTTTATCCTTCTTGACTAGCCCGTGATGTCAGTTCTCGTTTTAGGCTACAGACTCCTGTGAGAGGTGCACTGAGATATATTTGGATAGAACTATACATTGTGGGTGCCGTCACCGTACCTGTGACATTTCAAAAGTGGATGGTGGAATTGCAGGGTCCATTTGTGCTACCTCCACTTCTGCCATTCCCTGCCGCAGAACTGGAGCCCAAGCGCTTGCCTTGAAACCTGGGCGTTACCTCAAATGTTTAGAAAGGCCACAAAGGAAAATGTATTTTGTCAGTGGAAGTGAAAAGGCAGCCCACAAAGACTAACCATTACCTCATTACGATGAATTGCAGTTATTGATATTAAAACTTGAACTTCAGAGTAAACTTAAACATTAACGTCACGGGAGTTCGACAGCGCATTCGGAAGAATGCAACAAAATAGTAATTTCATATGTGAAGTTGGTAAATAAACCTCTGAAAGTAGCTACTCTTCAGACTTTTGAAACACACTTTTACACAGTAGTAATTAGACGGATTTTCTTTACAGGAAAAATATACCCACAGAACCTGTGAGCTACTTCTGATGATGACTTATGTTCCTTCTGTTGAACTGCTCACGGTATAGACTTGCTAGCATTAATGCTGACATTGTCTGCGATTTTAAAGTTTCTCCTGCTGTCCTTTGTTGAAGCAGAAATGAGCCCTCTCAGAGTCTGATTGTGCTATTCCAAAAAAGGCTCTTATTAAAAACAGAAGCTTTCATTCTCTCTTGAGGCCTGATATTTATGATCAAGCATTTCATGCCTACTTCTCTTGCCCTAATCCTGGTCATTTGCAACAATGGTGGTGTTAAGTGACTATGAAACCCTAAAGTAATCAGATTTTCAGGCCCTGTGCCCTACGTCACATGGAATCATTTATTGCAGTACAATAGGAAATAAGGCCACTACGCATAACAGTATTTCTGGGGGGAGAAATGTTGCTCATTGCTGAGTAATAGTATACCCAGCTGATTATAGGCTGTAAATTGTGCCTTAGGAATGGAATTTTGCATTTAGAATAAGCAGAACAGAGAGAGAACGACCAAAGTAAGAGCGCAGAGAGAAAATATGCAGGGTACCAAGCTCCTGCTCAAGCACCTGGACACATGGAAGTGCTAACTTCCCAGATCTGGCTGACATGGGGCAGCTGAACTGGTCTTGGCAGCTGGGATGAGCTGGGCTATGAGGAACCAGCAAGGCTCCATCACTGGCTAATGAGCCCAGCAAGCTGCTCAGTCCCTTCTTCCCACATAAAAACCTCACAGCTCTGCTATCAGCCTCAGCATCTCCTTGTACCCAACATCTGTCGTGACCTTTGCATACAAATAACAGAGAGGTTCAACAGCAGATGGTTAAACTGAACCTCGTAAGAATTGTGGACTAGTTGTTATTGTTGCAGTTTGTTGTATTAAGTCTTTGAATTTCAGAGCTTACCTTAGAGCCACTTCCTTTGGTCTTGCTGAAGTTGTAGAGAAAAAAAAAAAGGCCCAAACCCCTCAATTTTCCAAATGTAGTAAAAAGTGTTTGAATACACACTTTAATATATTTTCTGTGGCATTTTTGTAAAATACAGATATATAATTATAGATATAATGCATATATAGCATTTACTATATTGATAAAAAGCTAGTCTTTTCACAATGACACACCAGTAAGTATGTACAATATGATTCAAATTTTAAGGAACAAATGTTTCAAACAATATTGTGTGGTTATATGATAAGAATAATTTGAGGAAAAATAAGAGACCAGTTCTAAAAAATTCCCAGACGATAAAGTACATACTCTTGCCAGGAGCACCTCCATGAACATCCATGCACAACCTTTTTTTTTTTTCCCTTGTAGGAACATGCATGATTTAGCTGTTCCACATTTCTACCTCGTCACAGCCCTCACGATGACATGATAATTATCTTCAACCTTTTTCAAGTACAGATTAATTGTATCATTCTTCCCATTTAAAGATTTGTCCAACTGCAACATTTCAAAGTTTTGGCTAGAGCAGGAATTACTATACACAAGTTTCTTGTTAATTTAAACCAATAGAGCTATGACAATTTACATAACTGAAAATTTGCCCATCTTCTACACATCTTAAAACCATTTCACAAATTCTTAGTGTGCGGTTTTTGAACAGTGTTTTTAGCACTGCAGGTCTTTGCTAGGAGGTCTGCCTCAAAGGACACTGCAATGCCAAAACTAGCGACAGACCTGAAGTACACAAATGCTCTGTTATCCTCATATATGAACACTACCTAGCCATTCATCTGTAATGTACTGTCCACAGTACAGTAGATGCAAAGATGATCTTCATCTTTAATGTACCGTCACCTTTTACTGTGAGGCAGAGAAGTGCTATTATCACATTTTACAGAAGAAAAAAAATTAGATGTAGAAAGGCTAAGTGAATTGCCCAAGGTCACCTGGGAAGTTTGTGACAGCAAAGAAGCAAACCCACATCTCCTCAACTGCAGGCTCATCCTCTTGTCTTTCCAGCTTTGAATGAGAACTTTCTACGTGTGTTAACATAAACAAATGTGTAACTAATAGAAATAAAGCCTTCTCCAGGCACGGGCTTAAAGACAGCCCTCTCACTATCTCTTCTTATCATCTGGGAATAGAAGAGGGCTGTTTCTGCAGGCATTATCTCCAACCCACTGAAGAAATACTAGCTGCAATGAGTCTTTCTTGAAGTGGGAGCAGTTAAGCCCACTGTTTGCCAGAAAAGATGTAGGAACTTTTGAGAAACACAACAATCCACCTTCACCGAAAAATCTAAGAGAGAAAAACGTAAAATTGGAAAGGCCTTATTTTCCTTCAATGCTGACCAGGGAAGCATTTTCCATTTCATTTGTACTCACTTTATAATGCCTTTACATCACCTGCACAATATAAAGGAAGCTTAGCGTACTGCTGAAGACAACCCATTCTCTCAAGCATTAAAATCTGTTCTACAACCTCCATGGTTCAGCTCTGACAGGCGGGCAGCTGAGAGGCAGCTTTCGCAGCAGGACTGATGCGCACCGGGGTTGTGCAGGTGCAGACAAGGGCAGAATTTTTGCCACGACAAGTGTCTCCCCGTGTCCTTGTCACTCTGGAGAAGCCTGGTCAGCAGCAGGTTGCGATCTGCGTTCTTACAAGCATCAGCTAAAACCAGAACTGGGAAGGAAGGGAACCTCTCCAATTCCAGGGCAAAAACTGACTGAGAAACAGAGCAGCAGTAACCTCATGACAGAAAGGAGTAAGAGGAAGACAGATGGCTCCCTGGAGGGAGGGACACAGGCTGTAGGTGTCATGTTGGAGTATTCAAAGTAAACTATTAAAGGAATTTTGCCTATTGTAATCCTGGTCCCAGTTTGGCCGTGTTACAAGCAGGCAGCTATGACAAAGTTCTGCTTCCAGCAACACTTGTGGGCAAACTGGGTCATCCGCCTAATTGCTACAGGCGATGTATTTATGAGATACTGAGGATGGAGAACTTTTTGCCCTTATTAAAAAAAAAAAACAAACCCAAACCCAAAACACAACACACACGCAAAAGGGTAAAACCGATAATGGAATTTCTCATCCTGCTCACCTTTTTTTTTTTTCCTAAATCAAACCTGCATTTTCCTTTAAAAAAGTAAAAATACAAAAACAAAGATACATTAGAATATCCTACTGTCCAGTAAATGTCTTATAGGCAATATTTATGGAGGAAAAAAATGCATCAAGCCCTTCCTTTGACAAAAATGAAGCATCCCAGGGGTGGAGATTTTTTTCCCCTTAAAAAAAAAAAAAAACAAACCCAAACCCAAAACACAACACACACGCAAAAGGGTAAAACCGATAATGGAATTTCTCATCCTGCTCACCTTTTTTTTTTTTCCTAAATCAAACCTGCATTTTCCTTTAAAAAAGTAAAAATACAAAAACAAAGATACATTAGAATATCCTACTGTCCAGTAAATGTCTTATAGGCAATATTTATGGAGGAAAAAAATGCATCAAGCCCTTCCTTTGACAAAAATGAAGCATCCCAAAGTTCATTCTGTACCAAGGAATGCTACTTCTTCTGCTGTTGGTTTAAATTACTCCTGTCACCACAATTTGAATATGCATTATTTGTCTTCAAATACCTAAACATAAATCTAGACTAATGCTGAAAAAAATAAATCCTAGTAAGAATGCTGTGCCGTTGATAAGCTAAAAACAGCATATCATGAGAAGGCAAACTAATCTTTCCGTTTACTTTGTAAATAATCCATTAGCTAAACTTCTATTTCAGGCTGGATGCTTGATGCTTAACACTTAAAAGTCCAAATACCCTTCATATCCCTTATAACAGAAAAGAAACTTGTAAAATGCCTTTGGTGCATCAGCTTATCATTGTATGAATGTTTTAAAGAAACTCACTAGTACTATAGGAAATATAAGTGGGCTTGTTTGTGTTGTTTAATACTCCAAGTGTCATTTCATTCTTTAAAGGGGTTAGAACAGAGGAGGGGGAAAGGGGAGGAAGTCTTACTTAATTTGTTGCATATGTCCCAACGTGTTATACAACTAAGTGTATTATACCAGAAAACTAAAGCAGTCTGCGCCGCAACAAACTCTGTGTAACTCAAAATCGGAGAATAATCTGGCCACAAGCAAGTCAAAAATTCAGTGAAACTTCCTCTCATATTATATATACACACACTTTACAAGCTACATCAAGTGTCCTTTCATATTCCAAAAGAAATACATTGTAGACACCAAACATACTGTACTTTTACTTAAAGGCTTCATCAAACCATATGTGCAGACACTTGAGAAGATGAGAGTGTTAAGCTTCCTAGGGTCCTAGAGTCAAAGAAATTCTGCTGCCCCCCACTGCTAAGTAAGTGCACTCCTTCCACGGGGGGCAACATCTGCCGATCCGTCATGGTTCCGCTTGGCGAGGACCCCAAGAAACTTCCTTGGGAAGAAACGATTTTCTCAGGACTGGCAGCCAGTTTAGGGGATGTGGAAAAGTTATATCCATAGAGCGCACAGGGACTGTGCAGTCTAAACGTGTTGTAGGAGCCTTGGTGGGTTTGATTAGTGGTAAAGGCATTGCTGGATGGGGATGGCATGATGTACTGGAGCTGTGGAGACATCCCTGAAATCTGCATAGATAAGCCAGTCTGCGGGCAGCTGAACGCATCCCCATCATTGCCACTCATAGACATATTCACAGTTGTGCTACTCGACACACCGACATAGGAGGGAGTCCTCGGGGGTGCAAACGTCTCACTGGTTTGGTTTGTGAGCCTGTTGTAGGTTTCAGCCAAAGAAGTGCTGTATCTGTTCAGGGTCAAGCCTGAGCGGGCACAAGCTGTGTAGTCAGCTGGAGCAAGGCTACAGAGCTGGCTAGTGTTGGGACTGAGGTGGAAGGCTGGAGATGAGCAAGGGGAACCCGGTAAAAGGTGAGGGTGAGTAGATGGCACTCCACTGCCAGATCCCTGGAGTAAAGTAGAGGAACCTGCATTTCCTGCAAGAGAATATTACAGTGTAAGAAGCACGTTGGAAAAGGTTCACTTCCTAGGTGACAGATCAAGACCTTTGTCTTTTATAATAACCCTTGACATGAAACACGACGCAAATTCATTCAAAAAATGACATGTACATACATGTGCAGGGGGGGGTGTGCACGTGTGGCACATGCGTATTTTTCAAGAAACAACCCGTCCAAGAAAGAGAAGGCAAGTTAATCTTTTGCAACCATCACTCAATACTTCGAGCTCCTGCCCGAAAGGTTAACTACTCTTTATTTGACACAGGAAGCAAGCTGCACGGCAGCTAAGATGTAGCCAGGCGAGTACCACATCACAGGAAGCCTTCTTCAAAGTTATGAATTTTGTATTGTCTATGCTGTGGCTACACCCCAGAGCGCGTTTCAAGCACTCTGTGCCTGACTCACTGTCAGAGCACCAGCTAAGGAACCGGCTCCTTAGCTCAAATGATAGAGGCTCCCACAGTTCAACAGCTTCAGGAAAGTTCACAACCTGAGAACAAAACTTCAGAACAACTTCAGGAAAAGTGTAGGCTGAGTACTGTGCACAGCTGCTTCATTTCTTGAACTGGTAGGTGGAGGTTTAGGTTTGCAGCAAACTGTTCACAAACTGTTCGTTTACTGGTATGAGAACTTTTTACGTGACAAATACCAGTGCTGAATGCTCCTGAAAACGCACTGCTTGGTACAGATGAAGCATTTTCTCAGGACTGAAAGTTTCCCAGCTGTAAGAAACACGTTCTTTTCTTAGAGATTGTATCTCCCTGAAAAACGAGCATAGAAAAATTGATTTGGGCCTTTCACAGTCTCCTAGGCGGAAGGCACTTAACACGGAAGACTCTCCTGTTTGTGAATCACACTATCAAACAGCTTGATGCTGCAGAGATACATGCTGTCAGTAAGTTAACAGGTTTTCATGATAGGTGAGCTAGTAAAAAGAAAAATACATTATCAGTGAACTCTGCCTGCTGCTTCTTGCTCTGTTGACAGGCCACAACAGGCGCAAAGCACCATAAGACACTGCCACGTTCAAGAAATCCTAGGCATAGGATTATGGCATACTTATTTTTCTTCCAGCCTATGTCAACGCCTGCACTATCCAAAGGTGGGCACTTCCACCATTAACAACCAGGAAAAATTTCTAATGGGGTCTTTCAGCAAGTCTCTAAACCACTCTACTGGCCACAGTACAGTTGACTAAAGATTTTCCAAGGATCCCAGCTCCCATTCTGTGAACATCAACAGTAACTTCAACAAGCTCCATAACCTGCAACAGCAGAAAAGGAAGCGGGAAGTTCATGGCAGCAGTTCCCCTGCTCTCAAACAGTGCTGCCATATACAAACAGGGCAATACAGCTGGCCTGTCTCCTAGACATTTTAACTTCATAGTGAGTTGCCTTTCAGTCTTACACAGTCTGCCAAGGTATTTCAGGTCTGATGCCGGCTTCTCAATACAGGCCTTTTTTACGAGGACGGTCCCCCCACCCCCATCTTCCACGCAAAACTCTGCCAACCCTGGCTTGGCACAAAAACTCCTCTTTAATTGCACACATCAGGCACGGATGCTCAAAATTTCTCAAAGGAGTGGGCCAAGGAGAAGCTGACAAAAGTGATTCCTGTGTATTTCTGTATCCTCTGGGGTTTTGCTCTAAAGACGCTTAATGGCTTTGGAATACATTGTCAAGAAGGCAGGAAGAATGTTTGTAAATTTGGTAGCAGAGAATGCAAAGAATCAATATTTAGTTGGGAAACATCTGAGAGGTTTTCTGTATGTATTGGGGTACTTTGGAAATAAAGGAACTCAGAAAAGAGTACAGAGACTCCCTTCTCTGTCCAAACAGGCCATTTAAATACACCTCCCTCCCCCACAGCACTACCTCTACGACGGAGAAAGTGGGAGCCAAGAGGTTATAGACCGGGGAGCAGGAAAAACCAAAATGGAGACGAAGTCCATTTTTTCAAGCTCTAGGACGCAGATAAAGTTTGTTGGGATTTTTACTGAACAACTTTTAGGTCTTTAAGAATCAAGGAGGAAACCCAATTAAGCTTGCCGCTACTGATTCATTACTCAAAGGACATTTCTTCTCCCATTCCTTTTTTTTTTCTCTTAAACACACAAGTAATTCCTATATTGGACTCTGGATGTGTACAACGGAAGTCATCTACAAATGAACTCTGCCTTGTGTATCTAGCCAGAGCATAACACTAAGGAAGAGGTTATTCCATCCTTAAATAACTGTCATCTTCCACATGTGATCTAATTTGTCTTTACGACCTAACATTTTTACTGCCACAGTGCTTAAGTTAGCGTTAGTTTTCTAACTTAGAATAGCTCTGATGAGAGGTGATAGCCTGCACTGGGGTGGGTTGGTTGCTTTTTCTCTGCAAGTGACACACTCATCTAGATTTTTGTAAAGAATGATGGACAAAGCTTTATCTTCATGCATTTTTGTTTTGAAAGAACACAAAGGAGACCATTACCTTGTTTGGGTATCCCAGGTATATCTTCAAATGTAAGTGTCCTCAGCGAAGGTCTCCAGAAGGCATAAGACTCTACCAGAGCTTCCAGTCCCATTCTATTTAGAACAAAAACATCACGGTGTCATGAAAGCAAGCTGTATTTTGTCACATTTCTCTGCATAGTTTACCTCAGAAACATATAAAAATTAGTAACATTTTAGAATTATTTTGAGTTTCATTTCCATGAGATCGCTGTGATGTGTAGTCACTGGGCTGGCAGCATGCAGAGAGTTTCCCATTTCCACAGTCTGGCTCTTGATGTCAGTCTTGGCTTTTTGGGGTTTTTTTTTGCGGGGGCGGGAGGGGGACAACTTGGCTAAAATGACGTTAAATGTTTTCCTAGTATGACATTTCCTTAAAAGTAATGCTCTAACTGCCAGAGGTATGATCTCCTATTTCTGCCTAGAACAAAGGTGATCCACTGACAACTTCTATTAAAACAGGATTCCCAGTCATTACCAACGAGTTGGAAAATCACGCTTACAACATGAGCAAGCCCTGGGTGTACAGCTCTTCGGCTACTAAAAAGTATAAAGCAATGTTGTGTCTCAGTTATTATGTGCTCAGCAAAATGAAGATTTTCATTTTCTAAAGGCAATCATTTTCTTTCAACAGTGTCATGACAAAACAGAAATAACTGGGTAGACAATCGTGGCAGACTATTTAGAAGAATCTCTATTTCCTGAAGGCAAAGGCTCCTATGTTTTCTGACAGAATCTATGAATAATGCACCTCAGAGGTATCATTTTGCTGTTATTTTTGGCTGCTGGGCCCCAAAGGCCTGTTAAGCGTCAGCATCAGGCACACACCAAAAACAAGTGCTCGCCTTTGAGCAGCAGCACTCTGTAAACTCGAATTATGCAAATAGCCCAATTTGAAGCTACCGACATGGTTCTTCTGATACTGCTTCTTCCCCATTGCATTTCCAAATGTATTTCAGGAAACAGTTATAAAATATTTATTAGCTGAACCTGGACTAAAAAGATAGCCTTCATTTTCCGCAGCAATGGTGAATTTTCATTTCTAGTTAAAGCGGAGATAAAAGCCACCTCCTGGAGGAGTGTAGCCAAGGCGATAATTTATACAAGATGCCTTCGAACAATTTCCACATTTTATCACCACCCTAATTTACGCTATCAAATGGCCAAGTTTATTTAACAAAACAGTTATGTTTTTCCTGAAGTATTTAAAGGGAGAAATTCTGGTCCTTTCCTGAGTAAAAGTTTTTATAGGGTCAAACTTAAGGCCTAACTGAAGAATGAAACTATTCTCAGCACATAAATTCTGTTGCACTTTGCAAATGCACAGGGAATGCTTTTAAAAGGTGAAGCTACTGATTTCTGTAAAATAGCCTGTGGGACTGAACAGGAATGACCTGAAAGGGAATATTTTTAATTAAACAGAATTATTGCATGCAGCAGTGCTGAGTAAGATAGCTGCAATAATTAAAGCAACATTGGAAAGTTGGATATAATGGTACCACAGTATTTTTTTTATACTTGTCTTGGAGATTAAAATGCCTCGGTGATAAGTATACCAGCTAGAACAATGAAGACAACCGAATCTTAATGTTCAGCAACAGAGTAAAATAATAATCAACTGAGTAGACGAGTAATTTAATTTAAAAAAACGAAATTTTCCTTAACAACTAAAAATCTGAGCTGCATTCCCACACACACTTATTCAGTACCACAGAGCCTATCAAAGAAAACAGCAATACTGACTTCAGTAAACCAATGTCAATTTGCAATGGACAAGAGTTTGCAGAGTCAATTCTGTAACGAGTGTGTTTGTTACAGTAAAAGCATTCAGACCTCATCCAAAGCCAGTTCCGAAACATTTATACAAAGGCTGGCCCTTCCTACCGGACTGGCTTCCTAATCATTTCCATAAACCATATGTCTTTCAATTAAAACACCCTGCTTTTTTTCTAATGCCCGAACCAAACTTACTGCTAGCAGCCAAACAAAACAAAAAAACCTCTCTGGATATCCCCAGTCCTACAACTGGGTTTGCACGGTTGCAGATGCAGTACTCTTACTGCACCTACATCATCCTCGGGTAATACCAGGGCTGTCCCACCACGTCAAATCCAGTTCAAAACTGGTTTCTGAACGATTCTTTGCTCTCTATTTTCAAGGGCATCTTCTCTTGTTTCATAGAACATTATGGAAGAAATTCTAACTCCACTTAAACTCCGAAATTTCAGAGGAGTCAGGGTTTCACACTTCTTAGGAGGCTCTTTAGTACTTATTTTATAGCTCTGCAAAAAGCATGCATAGCGGAGACACTGCCTACGGAGAGCTGTCAAATAGGGCATGTACAGCAACTCTTTTCTTCCCCGAGTACACACAGCATGTTTTGCTTCTTCAGTCACTGCATTTATCTGGAAGTTACTGTTCACTTAATTTCAAACTAGAAGGCTACAAAGGAGGACAAAACTCTATTTATGCCGGTGCCTGGGGCGTCACTTCCAGGCCCCAGGACAGAGCATGGCCAATTGTTTCTTGCTTGGAAGACAAAAATTTTAGAGAGCAACAAATGCAGAGTGCAAACTGAAAAGACACTTACAGTGGGTTCCCGTAAATCTTTACAACTACGCCACCCCTTCTGTAACTGTTCATCTTCTAAAAACTACTTGTTTGCTGTCTGGTTTCAGCACTTATGCAACTTAGGTGGAAGCACAAAACAGGCTTTGATGCTGTAGCCTCTGCTAAAAGAGCAGCTCAATAAAGCAGCTACCAAAAGATACTCTCTGAGCATTCCTATCAGCACAGAGTCTGCTCCCTTCTCTGCAAGGCTAGGTCATAAATATAGCAGCTTTAGACACCAAACGCAATGTGGTCACTGGAACTGATGTATAATATGCACCACAATTAAATGCTGCTTTTTTTAGCTGAAATGGTTTAACATACAATTCATAACAGGCTTAAGTATTTTGCATTAAACCGTCTTTGGATAAAATACCTCATCAGTACTGGCAGCAGGGACTAGACCAAGTCTCCACCTTGCACTACTCAGATTCCCCATTGCTATTTTGAAGGATTCATGGATCAAGAGAGAGCAAGCAATTAATCAGTCCAACCGCAACAGAGGAGGTGGAAACCAGGCTCGTTTCAAGGTCATCTATAGCCTAGCAGGAAAGGCATTCACGTAGGAAGTGGATTTCAAACTCCTTAGGCTAAAGAGACACTTGAACATGGGTCTTCCACCTCCTAGGCAAGTGTACTAAACATAAGGTTACTGCATGAGGCGACTTAGTTTTTCCCCCTTTAAGAGAAAACAACGAGCCATTCATCTATACTAAATGCCACTTACATGCAAAAGAACCTGGGCTTATAGTTTGACACCAGTATCTGCAATTTGTGCCTCCAGCCAGGAGAAAGAGGAGATTTCAGGAGCAGCCTGAAATCACAGACCTGAGTATGCATTTATTCCATTTGCAGCCTCCATGGTATGCCACCACTTCCACCGAAAGGAACTTGAGTACAAGAGTCAAGCTGAGTGCCAACCTGTTCTTGACCTAGATGGTCAGAGGAGTAGGAACGGGAACCCACCACAGAGAACATTACTGGGAAACCTAAGTGCTCCCTCAGGGAGTCTGAGTCCTCAGACTAATTTGTCTGTAAATATTGGTATTCCCCTCAACCAGCCTTCACAAACCTATCCTGTCAGCAGTAACAAGCCCACCTCCTTCCCCAACACCTACCTGTTACGTCCCGAATCTCTAAACCCTTTGGCGAATGGATTCCTATCAATCTTCAGACGAGTTATCTGTGAATATGATCAGAGAAATTATTACCTGCAAACTCAGCTAAGTAACACACAAAATGACTCTCCTGACAGAATTAAGCCGACAGTGGAGTAGAAACATCTTCACATTTGCATGGTTTAAGATGGATGTCCTGAAACACAGCAAAATAAGGGCCAGCCTTCTGATCATTATTTTTGCAAATCCCCAGAGAAGCTAATAGGTATTTAATGCTACCAAACGGCAGGTTGGAATTCTGGAGAAAAATCTTCTGGCAAATGTCATTCTTCACCTAAGAGAGTATACTGCCTAACTGCAATAAAATTAAATTAAATTTTATTTCTGTACGGGTCAAGAAGGAAATGTGAAAAGAGAGATTATGTCTAAGCTATTATCCTCCATAACAAAGCAGCAACTCCCCCCCCAAACACTTGTAATTTATTTAAATAAATTTGATATAATATAAATAATATAAATAATTATATTTCTGTATTTACATGGCTCTCCTGCTCTTCTCTTTGTAAAGATAGCAAGGCATATATAATTTCCCAAAATACAGCTGCAGTAACTTATGTGGAATTAATAAAATGTCACAATATTAACTGTGGTGTCACTATATATGTTAATACTTAAACAAGTGGTAATAAGAGCCAAACACCGGAGTCACGCAACCTGCAGTTTACTTTTGACTTTGAATCTGTGTGGACCCAGATAAATTGCAGTTAATAATATACGCTGAATACAGCTAATGAAAACAACTGCAACTTTCTTCAGACCTCAGCTTCTCTGTTAAGGTCCTGGGAGTTTTGAAATCACTGGAGTCAGGAACAAAAGTGCTTTAAAAATTCTATCCAGACATGTATTTACACTTAAAGGTACAAAAACACCTTTAAAAATTAGACCGCTCTTTGCCTTGTGCTTCAATGCTGTATTTATAATTAAGACACCATTAACTATGCTAATTAGACCGTGTGATCTCCATAATAAGAATTACTTTTTACACACAGCATCTAGCCCACGTGGCCTGAAGTCTCAGCTATAGCCTCCAGGCGCTGCTGCAATACTACTAGTGAAAGCTACTTGTATTACAAAAAGGGTTTAGATAATGCTTTTTAATAAGTGGTATAATAAAAGTATCTGCTTTTCTCCTATCTCTTACTTCCCTGGTCTACTCTGAAAAGCCTGTAAAGTGCTAAGCAGAAAGTCCAAGTTACCTGTTGATTTTGGTACGCTGTGACAGTAGTGAAAACTGTCTCCGGAAAGGAGAAGGCTTTCACCCCTTCTCCTGAAGGGATAGGCTTGACGGGGGACAGATCATCTCCACAGTCTTTTCGGATGACGTGGACACGAGGCTGATATTTATGCATAGAGTGAAGGATAATCTATGCAGTCATGAAAGGAAAAAGATAACATTTATTAGAAAGGACACCCTGCTGTTTCAGGACTAATAGCTTTTTGGAACAGATTATGGTATGTGTTTACCATGCCACTTACTGGAAATCAAATGTTTTCTTTAACCTCTGAAGGTTCTTATTACAGTAGTCTAATCCCTGTGCATTTATGTTATTGCCAACCCTAAGCACTTAAAAATTACAACTCGGGAGCTCCAAATTCAGAGACTGGCTCAATTAAAAAAAAAAAAAAAAAACAGAAAAAAAATCAGGAGTGAAGTCCTGGTCCCACTGGAATTAGGAAAGTTTTGTCACTTTTTTCCACTGGAGCCTGGATTTGATCTGACAGGATTAACAGCTGCAGCATTTGCCTTTTGCTTTTGGAACCTTCAGGGTATGCTTGGAGCAATTTTCTTCCTGATATCCCAAAGGTTGGAAACGTATCTTGTTTTAAACACAAGCTGAGACTCTCACACTCTGAAGAAGCAGAAACTTAGAGTAAAATAATACCAAAATCCAAAACTCTAAAGTGTTAATAACCCTAGATTTACAATACAGACAATGAATATCAATACACAAACCCCTCCCAGCATACAAAAACTCAATTAAGAATAAAACATAAATGAGAAGTATATGAACTCACAGTTCATAAAGTTAAACACAAAAATACCTCTTGATATTGCTCCCAAATTTTAGAGGAGATTTAAAATACTGAATTTTTCCTCTATTTTACTCCACTTCAGCTAACTACTACTAAAATAGAAAATTTCAAGAAAAAAAATAATTGGAAGCTGAACTATTATTGTTGGAAGGCCTAAGAAATTAGTAACTCAATAAATAAACAGTCCTATGGCTATTGGAACCACTAATCAACATTCAGGGGAAGCTTTTTAATTTCCTGCTCCTGGAGTAGCCTCAGAATGTGCATGTGCTCAGGCACTCGACAGAGCCCTTATGCCAGACACCGTGGAAGTTCATTCATCCAAATGACACAGAGGACATTACATTCATTTGGATAAACTAGAGTTTGGCTAGTTTAGTACACTTGGTCCTGGCCAGATGACATGACCCCGTTTTGGATAAGCCAAGTTTCTGGATAATCAGGGGTTTTATTAGCCTGTAAGTAAGGTTTTGACAATGACATCACAGGCTCCAATTAATTTGCTCAGGGAGTGCCCTATGGATGTTCTCATATGAAGCCTTTTCCCAGTCTCTGGAATCTTGCACAGAGCAAGATTTTTATCATGCAAATGTGTATTCTCTTTTACAACACTCCTTTCAGTTCTCCACTGGCAAAGACCTACAAAATGAAAATGCTGAGAGGACAGCACATTCCTAACCCTGTTTTCCTGTGAACACCCAGCGATACCAGGGGAGGTACTGGTGCAACTGAAAAAAACCATCAAGCAAAGCTCTGTTCCACTGTTCAAACCCATCGCTGTTCTGTGCCTTGCCATTTGCCTGGGTGCCACTGAGAGTGCCACATTCTGCTCCCACCCCGATTACTTCACCCCATCAGCTCTGCAGTGCAAACTACCACTTGCCTACACGGCGGACTTGACCGTACGCAATGATAACCCAGGCAGTTACGAACAGCTCTGCTCATGTTTCAGGACAAGCGAAGTCATGGCAGTACGGAGATGAACACCTCCCACTCCTTATCTGGGTGGCTATTACAGCTAAACTGATCCTTGTCATCTCTTAAGAGCAACCTGGCTTGGCTCTGCGCTATACTGAAATTTCCTGCGCTGACACACGGTTAGACGATTAGCAAATCCATAGCAAGAATTTTTTTTTTCTTGATTTTGTTCAGTGCCTTGTACAATGGGATCTTTGTTAAATGATCAGGACTCTGAATTCTAAATAAATAATATATAACTGCAGAGCCCTGGTGAGTTACAGAGCAACACTATGTAGATAGGACATAAAAAGAAAGGGAAATGCAATGCCCACTCTGAAAATCTTTCAGCTCTATTATTCTAAGCATCACCAAAAGTTACTGTGATGAAAAAGCTAAGGAAAAGGAGATTCCTGCTTTTCATTCCGCATCGCTTGCACATGTAACAGCACAAACGAGATCTAACAGTTTATCTGCAGAACCAGCAACTTTCCCTTCGTACCCTTAAAAGCCAACAATAAAAAACCCCAACCAGAACAAACCCCACCGAACGCCAAGCACAAACTGGCATTGCTTTCAACTCACAGTTGAAGAGCCTGCCTCTCTCTACAAATCTCTCACAGGGCAAGACCAAAACACTTCGGGGGGGAATAAACCTCTCCCGCCAAAGGTAAAATTACACTTTGACCACTGCAGATGTCAAGACATCATTATCGGACTGAAGACGCCACAGCAGGGAGCCCACAGGTAGGCAGCAGGGCAAAGCAGAAGCCTGGCAGAACAAAGGTGGCCAAGGCACCTGCAGACACACAAAAGCTGGGATTACCTCTGCAATACGACTTTTGAGAGATGCTGCCGTGATGAGGCCTCAGCATTGACCCTGAGCTTGGGTACCATCGTGGCACAAACATCACAGCCAACACAAGCGAGAGCCCGATTCTCTTTCGCGGGGGAGATGCCGATCCTCCGGCAGCTCGGCGGTGCACAGATTACACAGCCACCTCCCCACCACTGGCATGGTCCTCACCTTGATGTTGTTTTCACCAAAAATCCTCCTTTGTCCTCCCTGCAAAGCCCATGTTATTCAGGCTTCTTGCAGTCAGGGAAGCGTGTGGGGCCAAGGAGCATGGACTCCCTCTTCACAAAGACAAAAACTGCAAGTGCAAATGCTGATGTTTCCCAGCTTTTCATTGTGACAAGAACATATAACTACCCGTTGACTGTAAGCAGAGCTCGCTACTTGGAGCCAAGTCTGGGCAGAGCAACAGCCTGCCTCTGCTTCCAGCCTCACCCCACTTTCAAATGGGGAAAAAAAAAAACCAACCACCAAGGAACAATTAACACGCCAACAGCCTCATTTTCACTAAAAGATGTTCCTCTGCATCAAAAAATACTCAGTTGAAAAGCATGGAAAATAGCATTAAAAATATTGACTTTTCCCCCCTACTGAAATTCAGATTAAAAACTGCAACAAAATAGAAAAATCAGCCAGCTCTAACCAGCCGGAGGAAGAGACTGCTTTTACAATGCAGCACTTACTCCACAGATGCGAGAAGGATGAAAGGCATTAACAAAGGGCACCCAGACCATGCACTTCTCAGTGTCAACTGCAAAATGCAGGTTTACTCTTCCTTACCATCACAACTCAGATGAAAGACGCAAATGCCACAGTATGTGTCTTAATGATGCCATTGGGCCTTAATGCCTCTATAAGCACACAGTCTTTCCAAAGTAGGGAATTCACCCTGGGACTCCCTTTTGAGATCGAAAACACACAACAAAAACATATCCTTACAAATTTTGCTTGATTTCCTCAGCCTTCAAGTGGAACCCATGTATCAGAGTGTCCTACACGCAGACGTACTTCAAAATCTCTCCGCAGAACAGCACTATAAAATTACGTCGCCACGAACTCCCACTCAAAATACTGATGAAAATAGCAGCAGGCAGCAAGGAGCCAGAAAGCGTTCGAGCAGCGAAGCAAGTCGTCTTAGAGATGGCTGATCTCCTTTCGCAAGAAGCTAATCCCAGGCCAACACAATGCAAGGGGAGTTGGCTGCCATGAACTACTGCTACAATATAAATACTGCACAGGAACACTACCTTAGCATCTGTTTGCAAATACCGTCCCCATTCCCATGGACGTGGGTCACTTCTCTCACTGGTTCTGAGAGTTAATACTCTGGAATAGGTAAAAGGGCTCTGGGCTGATCTCATGCGAGCTCCCTACCTCAGCGCCTGCAAGATCAAAACCCAGCCCTGGGATTTTACACAAGAACGCTGCAAAAGCTGACACCTCTGAGGAGCACAGGAAGAATAAAGGAACAATTTCGACAAGGATTAAAGCCCCAGAACCAGACAGCATGGAAAGCACGCCCAAAGAACAACAGCTAAAACCCGACACTGCTTGAACTACTGGAGGAATGATGGCAGAGTGTAGAGACCCCACCGAGGTTTCCCTGAGCCGTTCTGCCTAAGCAGGAGGGGAAAAATAAAAAACTTTCTAATAATCTAAAATATACCCCATCTCCTATACAGCGGCAGGAGAGTCAGAACACTTGATGTAAAAACACTGTTCGAGGGACAGTACAGCCTTGACCCCTCGCTCTTCTAATCCCCCATCCTTCCCCTGGTACCCTTTTGAGAAAAATGGTTCCTTCCTGCTTATGCAAAACAATTGGTTTTTATATTCATCACAAAATATGATTATTCGTTTTCCATTATTGCTGGAGGCATTCAGAGGCTACATAGCTTTTTCAATACAGCATTCCACACTACCATAGCTTTAAAAGAAAAAATGTACCCATTGGAAGAGACACTTTTCTGCTTTCTGCTTTTGCCTTTTCTGGTAATTATGAATGACAAGTTTGCAATTTCCCAGATTTGAGAAATATGAAATTATTTTACAGTCATCCTTCTTTTGTCCTTTTATTTTAATACTTAAGTTTCCATTTTGGGGAGGAGGGGCGCTGCCGTAGCTCTGAATCAGTTCAATGTGTCTCAAATCACTGTACTAGGGCTTTGCTTTACTAGTTTCCAAATCGAAACACTTAACTAAAGACCAGAAAATTTATATCCCCCCACATTATGAATAATGGCGTGCTGTGTACACTACACAGGTTTCAGTTCAAAATAAAAACAAAGCTAAGATCCGGGATGGAAAAATACAGCAATACAATTCTCTACATAGCCGAGATTTTATCACAGGGCAGTTTGTGACTGCAAGTGCACGGGTGGACCACAGTACCCACACATCGCCCCTCTGAAATGACGGAATACAAAAACCAGCCGCCCTGCTCCCCGTTGGAAAAGCGACATTGTACCGTTTGCATCCGCTTCGCTTTTTAAAGCCCTTAAAATAGACTCAGGACTCGGAGAAAGCAACTCCCACTCGAGAAGAGTCGCAAATACACGAATGCTGGGGAAACTACGGGAACTACCTGTACTAATCTTTACTCAAACAAACACTGCCAAATGAGACCCCGTAACTGTAATTCTGGAAAGAAGCGAAGTAAAACATCTTTCTTACAATCCTTAACAAAAGCACTGCTAACTCAAGAGATGTAAATACCCCCACCTTCCTTTTAAGTAAGAGCGCAATGAAATTATGAACAGTATTATACGAAAGGGAGACTTTTTATCCTTGTTACCACATTTGCTAGCTCAGTCCAGCCAGTCTCCTGTATTCCTGCCTCTGTAAGGTAAAAGTTGTAGCTCCTGCACGATGTGACCAGAGTCTCAAGTTAATCTCCTTTGCAAACACTAATGGGGAGAAAAAAGATCATACTTAAACTTGGCTTACGTATTGACAAAATACCTGGCTTAATGTCACAGAGTTACAACTATGCTGAAAGATGCATGTAGTATCTTTGTACTCTGTGCCAGGTACATTTTCTCTCGCTCCCTTCTGTTAAGGAGAAAGTATCCTGCTTAATAAACTGGGCTATACTAAGGACAATGGAATCCACATCCTGTCTTAAAACTTGCCTCTAACATCTTAAAACTCTACCACTTGGAACTCGATGCTCCTTCTGAAAGCAAGCCAACATTTGCCATTTATTACAGGATTTTGCAAAATTAAAGACTTCACCCTGACTAAAAACAATTCTCATTTTTTAATTATTTCCTAAGGTGTCAAGTAAAACTATTTTAGGGATTGCTGGAAAGATACTGGCTTACATCTGTCATGTTTCAACAGTTTTGAAGAGAAAAGGAAATATTAACATAACACATTTTGTCACATTAGATAATGTCATAACTAAACAATTTAGAACTTGCAAACAGAACACTCATACTGCATACGTCTTCGCCAGTTTTTTCAGAAGTAATGAGCCTCAGCTGTGAAAGGGTCTTGCTTCATAAGGTATGTAATAAATCATTATCGGAGCAAACCCAGCTCCCATGTTGTTCGTTTTTGACTGCAATTATTAACACCTCATGGGATTTCACACAAATGTTTAGGTTAAGAAAATAGTTAAGTGTATTTTTATTCACATGAAGTTATTACACACTATTAATGTTTCTTCTAGCCACTTGTGAATTTAAGCATCCTTTTTGATCAGAGCAGAAGTTGTGAGTAACACACTCGGTGGGAAAACATGACAGCAATTCTGCCCCTTCGTATTAGGCAATTTAGCCTTGTAAAGTCTTACTCTGCAGAAGGAGCTCTGTTTTTGAGGGGGGAGTAAAACAGCAGGCTCTAATCAGCAGTTAATTATCGGAGCAGAAAGTAAGCAGATTTTAGATCTGGACGGTAAAGTTCCAAAACAGCTTTGAAAAGTCAAGCCTATTTCTGGCACCCTGAAGCTGTACGTCAGTCTTTCGAGGCTGAGCAATGTGCCTACATGTAATACTGCAGAAGAGCAAGTACTCACATGCCCTTGATCGTCCAGCTCATTATTGGTAAGCTTCAGTTTGTCAAAGCTGATCACTTGTCTCATCCATGTCTCCCCGGAGGCAGGTGAATCCGGGTGAATATAAACACGAGGCGGTACCGGGGAGTCAGCATTACCAGCCACCATCCACTTGGAGCTATGATAAACATACCTATAAAAAGAAAACAAATACCTATAACCACAAAACCCGAAATAATTTATCAGACCCATTCAGTATTAATAAATTAGGGCCCATACGTACAGCAAGAACCCACCAATTAACAAAACATGAAAGGACAATAAACAAAAGGTATTTTTTTAGTTTCAAAACATAGTTCTGGTATCTGCAAAAGTAAGGTTAAAAACCACGCTCTGATCTGACCTTAGTCTTCTTAAAATCAGTAACAGTCTTAATGCTAGGCTCCACACTGAGCTTTAAGCTGGTGTCAGTTCATCGATTGCTACAGCTCTGCTCTGAATAGGCATCAGCAAACAGGGAAGAATCTAGTCCTTCATTTATCAAATCGAGCAGTAATTCCATATTTGGAAGATTTAACGTGTTGAGTCTAATATAAGAGTCTATAAATAAAGCTATTGAAGGGAAAGAACGTTATGATTGGGAAAAATAATGAAACTATGTCAAAGTATGCTCTTGCTATTTCTGCAAGACCGTATTAATTTTCTTGAATAATATTGCAGAAAGGCTTAAAAATGAAAAAAACGCAGCCCATATTTCATTTGATAGGCCAATGCTGACAAAGTCATTTTCTAATATAAATAGTGCCTGCTTTGGTAGAAAACTTATTCTGAAGGCAGACACTTCACAGGGCAATTTAAAAAGCACTAATTAAAAATGTCAAGGTATTTTCTTCAAGTACAGTAAAATTCCTGTAATTCAGCTGTGTTTTTTAATAAAAACAAGAAAGACTTTATCAAATCATTTGTTTGTACAATTCAGTTTCCAACATAATTGGAAATGAAGACAAAACGATCCAATACATGCATCGCTGCGTACAATTCATATCAAGCTGTAAAACTAAGACCTAGAACGGTGGTGACATTCTCTCCTGGAGAGAAATTCTCAACCCCGGATCACACAAGTCAACGGTTGTAAGGTTTTTCATTTATTTTATATTTGTTGGTTTATACTAAATACATGTTTTCGCTACAAAAGTAAATAAAGTCATAAATACACATGAAATATTTTGAGCAACAGCTTCAGCTTCCAAATATTTACAACAGGGTCCAATTTTGCTAGAAATCTAGACCTAGAGGTAATTTTCTTCATTTCCATTTAGTTTTGCTATCTGCTATGACAGCTAAAGACTAGGCTTCATATGTGACTGCTGTGGCATCTTTCAAATCTGAAGATCTGCAAGACAGTTTGTAAAGCCACATGAACAGCCCAAGTTAAAATAACAGTCAGCAATAAAAAAAATCATAGACTGCACAGCAAAGAATGAATAGTGGAATCAAGTAAAACACGTAAAACATTAATATTTAGCGGGAAGGTTAAAGGTGTGGTACTAACACATGATTACAGAAATTTAAGTTTGCCAACTAAGAAAATACTGCCCTTCATACAACTTCTGTTAAGTGACTTCAGTTATCTGGGCACCATGTATCACACTGGGCAGACAGTGCAGCTCAGTGTGACTGTATTTATTTTAAATGAAAGGAGGTGTAACCAACCCATATTCAATATACCTGTTTTCAGTTTTTAAAATTAACATTTTTATTCCATTTGGAGTAATTACCTTGCTTTTTCTATGAATTAAGGAATTGCTCAGACCTTCTAGGAATGATATGCTTAGATTGCTAAGTAAATGCACACGTGCAACACAAAGCAAGAGAAGGGCTTTCATTTGAGCTGCACTGCACTGGTCCAAAGAAAAAAGCATTTCTTCTCTATGGTACGGTCAGAAAAGCCTCCCCCAACCGTATGTACTGAACATCCTCAGCACTGGTATCTGCACCTCGTTGAAAAACACAAAATCTAAAATGATCCTAAGAAACGTCTTAACATACCGCACGAGAAAAGGACAAAATTGCAGTTAATGAGGTAAGGACACGCAGAAAACACAGGGCAGTGTTTGTGTAGGAAACGAGGCAGCATTCCTGCAGAACCAACCTTTTGGTCTCGGTCTGAATATTCCTAGTTCTACAATTAAATCTGCAGCGGTTTTCCCTCCATTATACTAAGTATAGGGTTGAAATAATCAAACCAGCAATTGGTAAGGACCTGATCCTGCCTCCACGGAACTACTTGGCCAGGCTCCTCCTGGCCACTACGGAGCACGGGATCGCATCTGCAAAGCCAGACCTACAAAACGTCGACAACTCACAGCAGCAACTGCTGCGGGCCCAATCCTGCCAACGTTTCTACAGGACCAGCGGTTTCAGCAGAGCCCAACTAGCTCCCTCGAAACACGACTGCCCTCGCCATAGTGAGAGTTTCAGCACATAATTCCTACCCTTAAATGTTCAGGGAACAACTACTTCTGTTCCTCACGTTATTCTTCAGACAATAATGCCATCAATTCTTTAAAAAGCAGTAATTAGAAACATTACCCTTTGTGAATCTAAGCAACCAAGTATCTGAGTGATAAACAGCTTTTAAATTAAACGATACAATCAATTTGAAGCGTGACCGAGAAAGCTTATATGCCATTAAATCAGACATCAATGCTATTAATGTTATTAATTAATGTTAATGCCGTTTAGCACTAGAAAAACGGGCATTTTCATATTTATTTGTTAATAGGAAATAATTCCCACCGACACGATGAGGAATAAAATACGGTGACATTTCCTGCTCGCACTAGAACTGCACTCTGCAAGCCCAAACCTGGGCGTCTGCCCACAGCACATACACAACAGAAGGCAAATGCATAAAGAGCTTCAACAGAAATTTTAGTTGGTTTTGCATACTTGGCACAATTTTATTTATTTTTTTAAACGCACTGGGATGAAAATAGGAATCTGAAGGAGAGTTAAACACGACCTTCTGCTAATTCATACAGTGTTAACGTTTTCTTCCGATAGCCGAGCTCCCCACGGCTTGCATCATATGTTTTTTGCCTTAAAGTCACCATACCTGTATCTTTTGTTATCCACTGGCACAATATCCATAGCAATATAATACTGCTGATGTGGGTCTAAACCTGAGATCTTCACTCTCATTGCGGGAAACATCCGCCTGAACACGGAAAGAGAGAGGTCATTTTTAATACGAAACAGACTCGGGAACGGTTGTTTAGGAAAAGTAACCGGTTCGTGGGATTTTTCTCGTTCTTCCTTTTAGCCTACGGAGTCCTTTTGGACGATTGTAGTTACATAGCCATGAAATGGCCCATTCGATATGTCAAAACAGATTTCTAAAGTGCATTTACTCGAACAATGCTTCGTATGTTTTGGGATACGCTTTGGGAGTACAGCTATTACCACATCATTTCAACTTTATTGTTAGACAGTAAATCATTTGGTTTTGAGACTTTACTTTAGCAGGACACGCATTTAAAGCCGTTCGAGATAGTAGCTAGAAATGTATTTCTGGAGATGTGCAAACGCCGCCTCCTCCCAGGGAGACCAATACTTACAGAAATGCAAATCGCCACTGCAGTTTCAACTGACAGCAGCAAATGGCGTATCATTTCTGCAGCAGCAAATTAGAAAGCTAAATCCACGGCGATGCAATTGTAACACCGCAAGGATGCGGTTATAAACGCCAACGTGCCATGCCGTAACCCAACAATGTGGTCTTTATTGAGACGGGACTTCCTGTCTGCAACTTACTAAAGGTGAAGTGCAAGAGCTACTCTGTCTTTGAAAGGTATAGTAAAACTTCTTTATTGAAAGCAGAAACGAATCTACGAGGTAATTTCTTAAAAAAAAAAAAAAAAAAAAAAAACACAC